AATAAACTTGTTAGAAAAAACGTTCATTTGCGTAATGAGTTGTTACTCTAGTAATCGCCCGTGCCCTTGTCATGCCTCACTGAATTCCTATGTGTTGTCTAATTAAGCGCTAACTATCTCCTATTTAATCCTAACTATTTCACGGGTATATTATTTGCACTCTATATGGAGAGATAACTAGTTAAAAACTAATTTACTCAAGTTAAAAGATTTTCCCTTAGTCACGTTTGAAATATCTATTTAAAGTATATTTAAGTGAAATATAGTCAAACATATTAAATATTCCATCATCTTGGGATGGTGTACCAACCTGGAACACCAAGATGGCCGCTCCATACATTTTAACCAACAATATGCTTTACAGCCTCGAAATTTGGCCAGAATATGTAGTTTTGACCGCTTTAAAGGATTATGAAACTTTTATTTCATTATAAAGCGAATTTACGCTTTTCATGATGACGTTGGTGAAAACCAAGAATATGCAAATAAAAAGATCGATCCAGTAAATGGTCCATTCCCAGTTTGTCTACAATGCATAGGTCACAGAAAGTAAAGAGCGACACCTGTAATATATTATACTCTTACTGATTTGTCGGTGAGTATATGGAACATGGTTTATAACTATAGTGCTATTATTATGAACATACCGCTGTGGACCCACTTATTATAAACATTAATCAAGGTATCATTTATATAACAACTACTGGTTTTTGATACGGTTTACATCAGTTAATGTAGCTAATGGCTTCTCGCTTGTGTACTTACTTTGAGAACAAATATTCACCTTTTTATATCTTGCAGCCTTCTTCAACCTCAAATTGCAATCACCTCCTAAACGAATCGTAAATACGTAGTTTCCAAATCCTGTACTTCTAGTATTTAACCAGTATGGGGTATGCGACCACAGGTAGCCCAAGATTTATAAAGACATTTCTGCTCCCGATTGTCATATTTTTAAAATGCTTGATTTTCCAAAGAAAGATCTAATTGAAATCAAGAAAACTTACTTAGTTTTATATGATCTTATTTATGTATTTTTATGTTTAGAATTTATTTTGTATTGGTTAGGATAGCCTACGTCACATCCGGAATTTTCTTCGTAAATACCGGTAAATACCGGATGCGACTTTTGGCTCAACCCTTGCACGTTATTTTTTTGGGTACAGTTAGATTTTTTTTTTCTAGCAGAAGAGGTTGCACGATATATATACATATATATATATATATTTTTTTTTTGAGGTTTAAGTGCTTGCTCGATATTTTTGGGGGGATTTACGCACCCCACCCCCCCATCAACTTTCTAATGGTCCGAGCGAGAGACTGTGGAAGAGTCTATAAGAAATAAAGGCACTGGGTACGAGATTGGTCTTCCACTTTGATAAGACTAGGCTGCTCTAACTGAATATATTTTTATTACTATTGTAATATAAAGAGTCATGGACAACCTAGAAATCAACGACCTTCATGTTGTCCCGTGTGTTAACTCTAGATTTATCCAACCTTCCAGAGTAGTCTTCAAGCAAGTAAGAACAGTTTGAGAAGAGTTTGAGGGAAAGTTCAACTTATACAACCTTTCAAAACTGAATCTTTGCTCACAGATAATACTATGCTATGCATGCACGCATCCTTCCTATATATTTTGAAATTATACTAAGTGATATCTTTTCATTTTCTTTTCATTATAAGAATGATCAGGAAAGAATATGGGACTATATTACAGAACATGACGAGTATGTGACTAGCAATGTTTGTATATAATTAATGCTTTGTGTATATATGTTTGGTATATAGAATGGTGGTCAAAGAACTTGGGATTATCTGATAGTCCAGAATAGGTAGGCACTCAATTGATGGAATATATTTTTCAAATACAGGGTAGATTTACGGTTAGGTTATTTTCTGGATGTCATAATTAATTGCCTTGGGGGTCAGAGGATTTATGGGGGGAGGTCACAAGTTTTTTTAGACAACTTGATGACGTAGGGGGACATTAGCTATATATTGACAGGTGTCAAAAGAGGCAATCACACAAAGGTTAGAGACTAGCAACCACTAGCACCTTTTCAGTGCTGGTATTTGTTTTTTAATTTAATGCATTTCAATTTTCAGCCACCATTTTGGCAGATGGTCTATTCCCCTTTCCCCTTGCAATAAATAATGACTGATCCCTGTCTATAGATCTATTGTATCACATTCTTATTCATTATGTTTTTATGACTAYTTTTAAATATTTGAGTGCCATCTTTGGTTTACCCTGGTCACAAGTATAATCTGAGGGTCAAATCACATTTTTACTATTTGCATTATTAATCAATACAATTTTTTCCCCATAAATGATCTTGTCTTCTTTATTTCAAGTGTTTCTTGTTTGGTTTTTAACACTACAAGACAAGCCTTCATCCTTGTCAAACAATTTAGACCAGGTAAATTATTTTCATTGTCTTAAAAAGAAATAKACATTTCTCCAGTTTTAAAGTTGTCAATTTGTTCAATGTTAATGGATYGTTTTCCCAAGGAACTCAGATTATAATATATATACTATATAAATTTAGTTGTGCTATCTGTAATATTAGTTACATACGTGGATCATCCTGTCAGTATGCATGCATGCTCGTGAGCACCTCCTTACCAATCTCAAGCATGTAAAGAGGCTTGTTCTATTAAATCATTTAGTATAGCAACCAGCAAGTCAAACATGCTATTAAATTTATTATTACCCTTATGAACACATTCCACCATGTATTGTCTTTCTTTAACATCATTATTTATAAAGACGTATCAATGATTGTATTTCTTTCACAACTGAAGATGGCAGTATGAACTGCCAAAACATGTCTTGTTTCCAAATTGTAGTCTTGTTTCTTAAAATGTCTATAACTTTAATTTGCTGCTGCTATGAATTTTAAGTGTTATCCAAAACACTGGACAAAACAATAAATCCATTTGCTAAAGCCTACATTATTTTGACCATCTTTCTTTGGTTACAGCGGTGTATATGCACGTTAACCGGAAACTGCACAACAAGAATTCAGGTGCGAATCCAGTTTCTGTCAAAGCAGATGATTCCTCAATGAAAGCTCTAGCCGATGCTAGTGCTGGAATAACATATGAACTCTGTGCAGGGATTGTAGATCAAAACATTAGTCTAAAATCATTGATGAAACAGGAGCTATTGGAGGAGTGTGGCTACAATGTTCCTGAAGAAAATATTCACAAGATCACATCTTGTCGAGCTGGTGTAGGAAGTACTGGTTCAGTACAGACATCATTTTATGCAGAAGTTACAGATGACATGATTATCGATGGGGCTGGAGGAGGAAATCTTAATGAGGGAGAAAGAATTGAAGTGTTTTATTTACCACTTGAAAAAAGCAGAGAGTTTGTCTTTGACGAAACCAAAGAAAAGCCATTAGGATTAATGTTTGCATTCATGTGGTATTTTGATAAGTTTAAAGTGTGATAAATGTGTATACATGTATATGACATGGACAATGTGGTGATCTATACAGTCAGTATCATAATTTTTCTTATTCATTAAAAAACTTTTTTAATTTTTAAAACCATTGAATACATTTCTCAGTCACTGTAAAAAGAATATTAGTTAGTTTTATAGAATGTACTTCTATAAACTTGATAATATAGAATCATTAAATAACTTGCACGTGTACAAATAGCAAATCCAATATTGTATAGCGTAGGTATCTGCCTGATGAATATGATTAAACTTTACTCCTGTACTACTGAGACTCTCTTATCAGTAAATAAAAGACTTTTTCTCAAGTGTGATTATTTYCTGTTCTTGGTTATCGTGGAGAATTGCATAAGACTACATGAAATACATATTGCCTTGATTCTTGACAAAGCTGGTGACCATATCTCAATGACCAGATTATTTTGTTTAGCACACTCCATTAGGCATAGATGTTTCAATGTTGATTCTAATAAGATCAGAGCCCCTCCCACACAGTAGACATGTCATGGTATAAGCCTGCCGATAAACACAAGAAATTGTATCAATGTAATTATTATTATTAGTTGCTGTTGATAATTTGATAGTAGGAACAATGGTATAGTTTGTAGGGTATAGAGAATGTGCATGTTATGAAATAACCATCTTGGTTGACAATAACAAAGCAGTCCTCATTAGCTTCTCTTGTTAGATAAACCAACATTGCAGCTGTTTCATTGTTATTTATTGGGATTTTGAGTCACATGGGTGCACACACTTAGGTACATTGTCAGTAGATTGCATGTCACTGTTGAAGAAATCTTTATATTCCACCATTTCCCTAGCTTTTGTTTACATATACATGATGGGCATAAATGACACCAATGGGCAAGGTTGGGGGAGTTTCTAAATTACAAGTCAGACAATCATCAAACTTGGCAAGAATATCAGGGTTGACCAGAAGGATTAAAATAAATAGTTTTTAGCATTACTGTTAAGTATGATGTCATTATGATGTCATAACATCGTTTTCTAATGGTTTTCATACAATTTGAACCTGATGCATGCTTCATGAAATATGTGTTTTTAGATGCTTAATCTTGAGATAACCAACACAGAYTTGAAAGCTGTATCCCAATTGCCCTATTTCACTATGACATCACTGCTTGTTTATGTAGGCATCGAAATGTCTTGCACAGCACTCAATGATAATAATGATGTCCAATAAATAAATAAGATAAATAGGTTTTATTTATTTTGGTGCCGTTTTTCCCATGCCGTTTTTGAGGTCATTTCTGCCCGACATGATATACCTGGTATTCTTCATCAACACTAAATGTATAAGTATGTTCAGCTATTACATGACCACAGATCGTACAAACATCTGAAAAAAGATTAGTATTTGAATCACCTTACAATTATGTACACTTATATTTAGATTTACATCTGGAAATTGGGCCAATGAGGATCAAGAGGGAGGTTTTTTTATATAGCACATTATATGTKTGTCCGAGTACCATACAATCTTTGGTTTTCATAGAGGACATCATGTTCTGCTACCGCCCAAGTGCCATTAGTTATCACACAACCATAATTGGACTACTATAGCTAGGTGTATAAATCTATTATTGTTTTTTTGTTGTTGCAATTTTCACACACCTTTGTAATGATACAATATTCTCTCAGAAACAATTGAAAACCAGGAATTGGTTATTTATTCCACTTCCAAAGTATATGTTTCACTTGTCATACACAAATGTGCCAATATGAAGCTTCATGCATGATGCTCAGCGATTCGTGACAGGAGAATATATTTCATTTAATGTGCGTGAAGCCAAAACCTAAATTAACATACGTTTATAAGTAACAAGTTCCTCATCATTATCATCCTCTTCCGTTCTGTTGGTAATTTCAATGGGTTCTTTTTTACCACATTCCTTGCAGCATTCATAATTCCACAAGTATGATCCATTCTCTACACACATTCTGCCCTGGAAAGACAAAGTACACTTTTAGAACCTCATATTAGTTAAATATTTTGAAATAACACTCATCCAGCAAAAGTTATAGGAATCTACTGCTTTAGAGTGAAGTCAGTAATACTCGTGCAATAGATGTTAGACTAATACACATTAATAGACCCTAATTCCATTGTTTTCTTTTGAGTCTATTTATTATTACACATGTGCTAGTATTTTTATTTCACGGGTAAAATGCCTTCACTCTATTCTGCTAACAAGTTGATAAAATTCAAACACACGGATTGGACTTCCTGTTTCTGCCCTGAGTTGGACTCTAYTGTCTACCGTCTTTATTTTACTGTTTTATTTGTAAAACACCCAACTGTTGAAATTCTTGAAATACTTACCCTGTCAGGGAGCTCTTCTTTCACACAATCACGACACATATTGTGTTTTTTTTTGTGTTTTTTCCTTTCAAAATATTGCAACTTTGATTCACTTGGCCTTCGATCTAGCACTCTTTACCAGTCCCTTACGTCCATATCTGATGATCTTACCTTAACTCTGATTGGTTGAATCTTGAAGCTTATTAGAAAAGATTTCATTGGTCATCTAAAATGGTCGAAAAAAATGGGAATAGAATGAATGAAAGAGAGAAGGAAAGAAAGAAAGATGGTAGTACTGCAACAGTGGAATATTTTTTGGAATAGGAGCCGCGAAAAGGATTACTATTGTGAATAAGCTGGATTTGACGGCACTTTGTCAAAATAAAGCATAACTGGTCGTCTTTCTTAGGTTCTCTCTACAGCATTATCAGCCAATATCAGCGATAAAGACTGAATGGTTTAATTAAAAAACGCATTTTCATTAAGAATCTTTCAGTGCTCCTTTCAGAAACCATGGTTTCCTAGGTAACCTGACTTTTGTCTCAGCAATGAAAAGTCTTTCCAAGCTTTAGATTATTTTCAAGTTTAAGTGTGAAGAGTCGGCTTAATTCCTCATCTCACGCCTTCTTTCTTCCTGTTCTAGGAACAACCACAATGACTGTGTTGCTGTTGCGGCTGCAAGTTTTTTGAGAGAAACTTCGCCGAGGTACCCCAGTATAATTGATCAGTCAAATGATGGATGTAATCACACCAATTAGTATGAACAAGGGAATCAATTGGAGCGATGCTAATGCAGACGACATACAAACCATACGTCACGGGTAAATATAACTTGTAAATTCTCGCTTGAACTTTCCTTACAATTTTACTTGAACACATCATTAAGTGTCAATAATTTATATCTTCTTTCTGAAGCAAGTACTATAGTGTTTAGTTCGTTCCATCTCCTTTCAAAATACGAATTGCTACCATAAATCATTTGTCTAAAAATGAACTACGAGGACTGAACATTATATAGCAAAAGGAACTGGCAATTATTTTCGACGTGTTTGGTTTTAAAATTACCTGAATGATGGTGACGCGTCCTGTACTGCAAGACTTCAACCTGCTTGAGTAAGTCAAGCGTCAATCGCTTTTAGCTAGTTGCCTTCGGATGCAATTTGCTTTTAATTAATATATCTGTGTCTCAAATTTATTACTAAAGCTGGAAAAGCTTTGAATGATGGAGTATTTAGTTGGTTYACAAAGTCTGGTAGAGATAAGGCCAGACATCAGTGTGACTCATATCTATCACTGCAATGATTTGTTTCATGTTAATGTATACGGGTTATTAAGAAGAAGGTTCTTCTTCCTTTTCCTTCCTTCGTGTCCGAATTCCCTCCTTTTATGGATAAAAATTTTAGCGAGCAAATCATTTTTCAAACCTTTTCTCTTCATATAGTTACAGCCATCATCCAATAGGAATAATCATGATTATTGTCATGGGACTAGCAGTTTGGATATTGGGATTTCGCCTTATCAAGGTTTGTTTTTACCTGCAACATTAAGTTCATATTTTAACTCAGTTGAAAAAGGCACGAGACAAGGYGTTATTGTGAAAAGGCAATCGCTAACAACTCATATTCCTGACTGTAACATCAATTTATCACTTTGACATTTTGATTTAATAATAAATAGATTTATAGTCGAGACAAGACGACTTATGGCGCKAGCAGCGTGGATTACGCGCAGTAAGTGTTCTGAAACCTTTTCAATTATAATCCTCTTGATTTCAGGTTATTGTTATAGCTGCGGCCTTTATATTGTCTGGTTGGTCATTCTTTGTGTTATCACCCCATTTCCTTCATCTTGACGTGTGCTGTGCAGAGGGCACACCAGTACAAGGTAGGAATGGTAACAGCGGTCTGCTGCTGCAGGAGAGGGATGCAAACCAGTTATTTTCAGTCAAATATTATCTTTTCATTTGCAGTGCGTATTGCGGTCAGTATAATCGTTTCGCTAATGGCTGGTGCTATCGCATGTTTTGTATATAAACTGGGTTTGTTCTGCCTGGGTAGCTGTCTGGGGTTGGTAAGCATATCCCTTATGAATTATTTCTTGTTCCTCAGTTCTTTCTCTTTCTTTTCGTTTTGTTTTGAAATATTCTCATTATTTTCTTTTTGTGTTACTTGTTTCTACTTTCCTTTCCTTTCCTTTCCTTTCCTTTCCTTTCCTTTCCTTTCCTTTC